GGATTCGATTTTTCGAATTATTGTACTCTATCGGAAGAGTGCGAGGACCCTATTTTTCAGGCCGGAGTGGAGAAGACTTGTCAGTTTGGCCGAGTGGTCTAAGGCGACAGACTCGAAATCTGTTGGGGTTTCCCCGCACAGGTTCAAATCCTGTAGCTGACGGTTCTGTTTTTTTTTGTTTTTTGCGCTTTTTTTTTTTTAAAAAAAAAAAAAAAAAAAAATTAAGTATATATATAAATATATATGTACATCCTTTATTTTGTTTTTTTTTTGCTTGTGTTGTCTGTAATTCTGCTGAAAATAATATTTTCATATTTATCCAGCTGTCAAGTAAACAACAAGTTGCTGCTTACAGCCACAGAGTGCTTGTTGGAAAGGGGAAGCAATGTGCATGGCCCTAAATAACAATGTGTTAGAGCTTTCAATCTTTTTCTGACAAACTTTAACAGTACAACATGTGCACACTGACAATCAATTATTTGCAAGTCAGACTGGGTGCCTACACGTTTGCTGTAGACACCATATTCCATTTAACCACAGCAGCATCAGTATGCAATGCTGTCAATTCGATGCACTCTGGGGGTGCTGGCCTATTGCTTCTTAGAACCAGTTCTACATGCTGATGGTGCCAAATAAAATACAGCTTAATCACAAGCACAGGCTGAGTTCCATGCCCTTGGTACTCTATGCAGCTACTCGATGCCACAGCTTGCCACCCAGACTCAGACATGGTAAGAAATATGCACAACTCTTGCCAGATGTCAATACCCAACACTCAGTATTCATTTATGCATTTCGTACTGAATAAACATACCAGGCATGCCAGGTAATGTTGCAGCCAGGTTTTTTGTTTTAAAAAATAGCAACTGTTTGAAGAATGACTATTTGCCAAAGTTTGCTGTCTCAGCTGCCTGTCGACCCTCAAATAATCTAACTAGCAAATTTAGCAAAATAGGCTATCCAATGGCTTTTGCATTTATGCTAATATGCTTTATTGCAGAAAGTTGATAATTTTTTTTAATAGACCAGGATAAAAATTAACAAAAAAAACTATAAATAATGCCAATGGCTGTCATCACTAACAGTATAAACACAGAGCTTGTGTTGCTGTTTTAAAGCAAGGACTCTGCAAGTAGTCTCTACCTGCAACTGAAATAGTATCACAGCTTTCTGCATGACTAGATTATCAAGTCTAATTCCTAATTAAAACAAGCTTGTCAGTCTTTATGCATATTTTGTTTCTACTTTTATCACATCATTGTCTACTTTAACTATACACTGCATTTCATTATTGATTATAACTGAACCTTGGAGTTTTCCACCAGCTTCACCATTTTTGCCATAAATTTCTATAGAGTAAATATTACCCAATATTGTATTATGAATAGCCTTCTCAAATTCTTCTACAGTTGCAACATTATTCGTTTCTTTTAAATCATTGTATATATTATTAATGCTTACTATCGAGGCAGTCACAGGCTGTCCAATTCCCTTATACATATGCTTTAAAAAATCTGCCATTATTAACAAATATATAAACCAAAAGTAAACTGTTTAAATGGTGAGAAGCTGCTGTGGGTTTGGATAGTGGTAGTAGTCGAAGAAAAAGTGGGTGCTATCTGGCTACCTTTTTATAGCTGGCAATTGGAATAAAATCTGGCAAACCTGTCTGTCTACTCCTTAATACAGTTAGAGCAGAAACCTCTAAAAATGCAAAGAATAAAGCACAGCTGCAGTCTCTACCACCAAAAAGAGCCCCAAATTTATTTTTACACTTTTCCTACATTGCACTTTAGCATGTCAACCCGCCTTACATTATTGGCTAGTTTTTATGCCAAGAGCAGGAGACTGCGGAAGGATGGATAAGCCCTTTAAATGATGGGCAAAAAGGAATGGACAAAGGGGTCTTTCTGCGAGAGCTGTTGGCAAGTTGGACGTACAATGCTAGCAACCCTACTTTTCCCTACATCTTGCAGAAACCGGGGTAAGAACACTCTGGCCTTTTTTTCAACCATTTTTCCATTCCATCTCGTTTTTTCTTTTCTTTTATTTCTTCTAGTAGTATAAAATTTCACATAAGGCGGTGGCTCGGGGAAGCATGTGTATGATTTTTTTCGGCAGGCTGGGCGGCGAACGGGCGTGGGGTTTCCCGAAAATCCAGCCGGCGAAGCACTGATCCATAATCTGATCCGCTTGGGCACAAGTCCCGGCAAAGCCCCTGGCGCAGGGCAGCGGTCTTGCACTTGCAGTCCTGTTTTTTAATTGCTGGCGGCAGTATACGGGACAATATGAGCGACATGTCATTTATGTGCGGCGATCCTTGCAGCAAAAAGGCTCTTTTGATATACGAGCAAGGACGCGAAGAAATAACGGAACGCTGCTTGGCTGTTCACAAAAAAAAGGAGTCGAACAATAGGAGGGTGCAAAAATAAGGAGCAGCCAAACAAAAGAAGAAAGACTGGCCCGATACAGAATAGAAACAATGAGGCCGTTGATTGTTGGCCATTTTCCGCGTGTATAAATCATAAAGAGAGAGCGTGGACCATTATTCGCCGAGACCACACTTACTTCTTTTTTTCTTTCTTCATGCTGCAAGCCTCTTGGGCCAGAACTCGGAGCGTGCATCCGATGCACATGGAGCAATATTCGCACAGCGACTTTGCACAGCGTGGATGTTGTTGGTGGCAGTGAGCAGACAGGTTACGAGCCTGGCTTTTTTTTCCTCCGGGGAAAGATGTGTTGGGCAGAGAATCTTTGGCTGCACAAATCGAAAAAAGGGGGGCGAGCATGGGCTTGTTACTACTTGCGGCCAGCCCTACTACACGACCTTTGCCTCCCCCCGATTCAGAACCAACTCAGCCCACCGCTCACTTTGTGCAAGCATCCAAAATGCGCCCAATACAAAAAGCCATCTTCCCCCTCCCCTTCCGGTCCTTCGCGTTCCTCTCTCCTCACTGTTCCTTTTTTTCTTTCTTGCACCAGTCGTTTACATTATTTTTTAACTTGCCAAGTATTTCCGTTGCTTTCGTCTGTTGATCGGACTTTGGCGTTTCTTGACAGGATAAAGAAATATAACCTCCCATCTCCGTCGTTTTATAGTTTTCAAAAAAACCATACATTCTTTTTTTTGCCCGTCACTCTTCTTCCCTCCTCCCTCTGTTCAAACGTATTCGACTTGTGTACTAAAGTAAACAAAATGGTCAAGATCCTTGGTTCATTCGCTGTGGCGACGACGCTGCTGCTGGGCACGATGGTTGCGGCGGCGCCCGTGGAGGTGGTGGGCGAGCAGGCTCGCCGCGACTACCACGAGGTCAACCAGCACTACCGGCCGAACCCCGTGCACACGCTGACGCACACGCTCACCAACCTGCTTGGCTATAAGCCCGGCGCGCCGGCAAGCGCCGACTACCAGGCGGCCCAGCCGGGATACCAGACCGCTCAGCCCGGCTACCAGACCGCTCAGCCCGGCTACGCGGCCACCCAGCCGTGGATGCAGCAGATGCTCGAGCAGGTGAACGCGATCCGCGCCGAGGTGGGCAAGCCGGCGCTGGCGGTCGACCAGCGGCTCAACTCGATGGCGCAGGCGCACTCCAACTACCAGGCGTCGGCGGCGACGATGACGCACTCGGACCCGGCCGGCGGGCTGGGCGACCGCTGCTCGGACTACGGCATTGACTGGCGCGGCGTGGCCGAGAACGTCGCGTGGAACTACCAGGACGTCACCGACGTGGTCACCGGCTGGAAAAACAGCCCGGGCCACTACCAGAACATCATCGGCGACTACAACTACGTTGGCTTTGGCGTCACCGACCTGTACTGGACACAGGACTTTGCCAAAATCTGAGTTTCCTCCCCTTCGAGCCGCCCCTTCGTTTGTTGTTTAGCTTTTTTTTTGTTTGATGAATTTCAATGTTTGAAGAAATACAACGTTCTCGAAAATGTCGCAGTAATATTAATTTTCCTAC